CGCCCGGTGGAAGCCATCGAGTTTCAGCGCCGCCAACACCTCTGTGGCCTTCCCATGCATTGATGCGTATTTGACCGACGCCACAATTTGTAGATTGAAACACGTATGCTCGCGCGCGTGTCTACACGTCGCTCACACGCAACTGGCGAACCACCAACCAAAAGCAACCAACCCTCTGAGCGCAAGTGGTTCAGAGAGATAGTTATTCCGACTCCCTTCTTTCGCTTCGGGGGGGAGTTTCCCCCTCCCTCTCCCCCCTCCCCTGGGTATGGACAGAGGGGTCCTGGGTATGGACAGGGGGGGACGCTTTGAAGCGTCCAAGATGGCCCAGGATGGCATCTGATGGCGCAAGATGGCGTCCAAACCAGCAGAAGATAGCCCAACATGTTTCACGATAACCTCGATCATGCCTTCAGTATCGCCACTAGACGGCCCCAAGAGCCCCAGGCGTTCCAAGGGTACCCGAGAGAGGTCAAAATCACTCAACCAACTAATGGTGTTCCAAACAGCTGGCAATCTCGCCGTTTCGCTTCCTATGGGCTTATGAGGCATCCAAGTAGCTTCAAGACCTCCCAAGAGAGCCGATCGAGGGGATCATAAGACGGGCCCGAAGACTCCCACGAGCGCCCCTCGAGGGCCCCAAGACGAATGCTTCGAACTACAACGGGGGGGCAAAATTATTGGGTGACCTCAGGCTGTCGAGCGACTTTGACTTTTCAGCGGCATCATTGGAAAGCTGTTAGGCCAGCGTGACTCCATGATGACCCAATCTGCCTCAATATTGCCTCCAAGACGGCACAAAATGGCCCACGTTGGCTCAAGATTACTTCCACCATGGGAAGGGAGAGGAACGGGGAGGAAGAAGCGGGGAAGGTGGAAGAGGGAGGAAGGGGGAGGGGGAGGAAAGGAAGAGGGGAGCGAAAGGGACTGGAGCTTTTGGGTCCGATGAGAGTCTCTTGGTCCTGGGCCCCAGCGACACTACGACTTCGGCTCCTTCCTTCCTCGCGAGGAGGAGGCGGCGGCAAAGGTGATGAAGAAAAGAAACTGCCATGCAGGTTGGAGGGAGGGTAGAGGATGAGGTTGGAGGCAGGCCGGGGCGTAGGACTGGGGCTGAAGGAAGGAAGGACCGGGTCGGAGACGAAAGAGGAGGTACGGTTGGGAGGAAAATCGCTGTGAACGGCCCATGGAAGAAGGAAACGCGAGCATCCAGCTGGACTCGTTCCCCAGCCCCACCTTGGGTTAACCCCCTCTACGAACCCCCCCGAACCTGGGAAGGGGAGGGGAGGGGGGTGAACGGGATCTGGGTCGGGCATTTTTCGTTTGCTGCTCCCTGCTGTCACCTGCGGCGCCTCGCATATGCTTGGCCTCCAGCAGGCAGTGGTGCAGCAGGGCCTCCCCAAAGCACACCTTCTTCGAGTAAGCGACGTCTGACTTTCACTGCGAAAGGCCACGTTGAGCCATGGGCCACACCAGGGGCAGCGCACAGGACAGCGCCAATTACGTAAACTTCTGCGTCAAATCTCGAAGGAATAACAAATGATAAGCGAAAGCAGGGGGGGCGCATGTACTGATCCGAGTGTCCCAGGACGGGCATGGCCAGGCTGGGTGTGCTTCGGCGGCGGAGGTTGGCCAGGGCTGGATGGCAGGACGGGAGGAGCCACAGATCCTCCTCGTCATCCTCCTGCTCTCGTCCTCCAAGTGTGCTAGTCTTCCTCCTGCTCCTCCTCCTCCTCCTCCTCCTCCTCCTCCTTGATCTTCCACCCCGACCCTAACCATGACCCATCTCTCCGCTTCCTTCCCCTCCCCAGCCTGCTCCTCCTCCATTTCCTGTTCCTCCTCCTCCGCCTCCTCCTCGTCTCTCCTCGTCTCTCCTCGTCCCTCCGCTCCTCCTCCTCCTCCTCCTCCTCCTCCTCCTCCTCCTCCTCCTCCTGATCCTCCTGCTCCTGCTCCCGTCGCACCCGCAGACATGTTGGTATGGCGGGCCAGGCGTTTCGCCTGAGATTTTCTCACAATGTATGGTCCTGAAGCTTGAAAATTGCCACAGCTTCACGCATGGAGGGTGGGTCATTTTCGAAATGTGACTTTTGCATTCACGTCGCGAACACTCGTCTTGAACATTTGCAACGGTTTCAAGGATGGAAGGCGTGCTGCGAATTTAATGTGGTTCCCGCTTTGGCGCGCCGCGCATGTTCGTCTGAAAGTTTGCAACGGAGGGCGGAAGTGTGGCTTTCGCCTTGGCGTCGCACACAATAATCTTAAACAAATGCAGCAGCTTCAAGGATTTGTGGTTCAAGTCACAGAATTTGTGATCTGGAACGATCGAGGACTGTCAGGACACAACAAACACATTAATTCGCGGTGTTGACGTCCTCAAACCTTATAAACAAAACATGTTGCTACGCCTTTCAAAATCGAGGCGCCCGATAGTTCGGGCACTTGTCAGAAAACGCGTTCTTCAATGCTGCAAGGGCACTGCCAGATTTCGGACACCCTTGCGTGTGGGCCAAGCACTTCATGCCAGCATTCAAAAACCGCCGACCGCGCAAACGCCGAAAACAAAAATCGCCAAATTACTGTTGACGAATCTTGTCGGAATGGTGCTCCGGCAAGGAGTTGGAATCATGAGGACGCAACTGTCACTTGGATTTGCGGCGTTGAAGTCCCAGGAATGGTGTTTTGGCACGATTGGGGATTCTCAAAAGATTGTCTTCCAATAAGGAACTTCCCGTAATGAAACTGAAATCCTGTAGGAACCTACGAAAAGGGAACTTGGAGGGAGGGTATATTGCAACATCGTCGATGCATCTTGGGATTCCACTGGTCCTCCTCCTCCTTCTCCTCCTTCTCCTCCACATCGCTCGGTCACAGACGGCAAGACAAAGTCGTATTTAGCCGAATCGAGCACAGCACAGGGAATAAGCAGATAAGCGCAAGAAAGACGGGGACCACCACTAGCCGGTCCCAAGTGGGGAAGCCCCACCAGGCTACCCGCTCAAGGCGAAGGGGTCCTGAGGCTCCCGAGATGCCCACAGAGGTGGCTCCATTGAGAGGTCAGACCCAGACTCCCCCCAGCTGGGACCACGTGAGAGAGAGCAGAGGCAGTATCACGGTCGAGTATGCTGCATTCTCCATCGTCTTAAGTAGATGCGACGTGGGCGCCCACACGGCTCGCAAGCCACCACCTGGACTGGTGATGATGCTGTCGTCCTACCCCTGGAGCCGAGCACAATTCCACAGCGTGAGCGATGGAAAGAGCGCGGTGAGGGAGCTCCAGAATGCATGGGAAAGTAGCCACAACGCACTGGGTGGACAAGAGAATCGCGGATCGCAGTTGCGCGTTCTCCGAACTGCGAAGGTCACTCTGCCACACAGAGCTTCGGAGGGCCTCAGCAACCCTGGGAGCGGAGAAGAGTCCTCAGGCATGGCCCGAATAAAGGATCCCCAGCTGCCCACCGAACGAGGAATACACATAGCCATCTGTTGCCTCCCCTTGATGTTCTGGATCCAAGCACGCAGGAGCCCGTCTCACGGAGCTCCGACAATTCGAGTGAAACTGAGTGCGCCTGGTCCTGATCTCCCACACGCGCGTCCACCGATTGTCCGAAGTCTTGATCATACCCACACATCATACCCGCCAGGGACATCTCCCTCTTCCTCGTTCTCATCATCATCCTCGTCCTCCTTGCCGTCCTCCATTTCCCCTCCCCTTCCCTCCACGTCGGCCTCCTCCTCCTTCTCCTCCTCCTTCTCCTCCTCCTTCTCCTCCTCCTCCTCCTCCTCCAGACCAGCAGGGGCGGGGGAGCCTGGAAACGGGGGGGCGCAAGGTCGAGAGCGGATCCGGCCGGGAAGGGGGAGGACCAGCCACTCTGGGCGCAAAAAAAAGGGCGGCCCCCTCAGAGTCGAGCGGCCCACGGGCAGGGCGGAGAGATCATCCACACAGAGGGAGCGGCCCCACAGATCCGACACTCCCAAAAGATAGGAGCGGCGGGATTTCGGCAGTCTTCGGCCTGCCCTCGCCGGGCCTCGAGAGCGTCAAAAACCACTCGGGACGAAAAACCGGCCCCCAGGGAAGCGGTCCGGACCTCCAGGGCCCCACGCATCGAGAAAAATTGAAGCAGCCGGATGTCTGGGGCCGAAGCACTAAAACGATGGGGCCTCGATGGCATTGTCGCGGAGCGAGCTCCGGGGCCCCCCGCCCGCTCCCCGCCGAGGCACCCAGGTGCGCTCCGGCGCTCTGGCCCGCGAACAGCATGTTGTCCACGTCTCCTCCCCCGTCTCCCTCTTCACCTCCTACGAGCCTCGGAAAGCAAATATTGACACACCGTTCAAAGTCGAAGCGCCCAATAATTCGGGCACTTGTCAGAAAGCGCGTTCTTCGATGCTGCGAGGGCACTGCCGGATTTCGGACACCACTGCGTGTGGGCCAGACACCTCATGCCAGCATTCAAATAGGCCCCACCGCGCAAGCGCCGATAACAAAGACCGTCCATGTATTTTTGACGAGTCTTGCACCGTACATCGACAAATGGTTGCATCACTTAAGGCGGGCCTTCAAATGCGTGCCTGAACACTCATGAACACTCCCCCCCTTCCACCCATCTATCATTGGACGCGAGAAGGAGCTGCCCAAGAAGTCGGGCGATCGACAGAATGTTGCACCACCGAGCTGTTTCGTTGATCCCTTGAATCAATCACAATAGGACTTCCCGTGTCGGCGCCCAAGGGTATACCATTTTGCCCATATACCCTACTCCACCTCCCTCTCCTCCCCCCTCCTTCTCCCCACCCCAAACCTCCAAACTGAAGGGCTTGGACACTTGGGGTTCTCCTCCTCGCCCTCCCTCGTCCGCCTCGTCGTCAACCTCCTCCTCCTCCTCCTCCTCCTCATCATCATCCGCCTCGTCCGCTTCCTCCTCCTCCTCCTCCTCCTCCTCCTCCTCCTCCTCGTCCGCTCCCTCCTCCTCCTCCTCCTCCTCCGCCTCCTCTCCCTCCTCCTCCTCCTCCGCCTCCCCTCCTCCTCCTCCTCCTTCCTTCCTCTCCTCCTCCTCCTCATCATCATCATCATCCTCCTCTCCTCCTCCCCCCTCCCCGTCCACCTCTTTCCTCCCCTCCTCCTCCTCCCTTCCTCACCTCTTCCTCCTCCTCCTCCTCCACTTCCTGCTCCTCCTCTTCCTCCTCCTCCTCATTCCTCCTCCTCTCTTCCTCCTCTCCTCCTCCTCCTCCTCTCCTCCTCCTCCTCCTCCGCTCCACTATTCCTCCCCCTCTCCCCTCCTCCTCCCGTGTTTCACAATCCCACTGCAGCCCACTCCCCCGCTGGGGCTGGGGAGGGAGGCCCCCGCGGCGGCGGCCAGTGCTCCGGAGAGCGCGGAGCGCCAACGCCGCCGCCGTGGGGGGAGCGCGGAGGGTCGTGGTTGATGTTTCAGCTGCGCGCCGTTTTGCAGGAGGCCCCCCCGAGACCTCAGGCGAGGGGGGTCTCGATTTTCGTCGGCTCCGCACTCTTGCTTATTGCGGAGCAAATCAGGCAGGCAACATCCAGGCAATGTCCAACTCCTCCTCCTCCTCCTCCTCCTCCTCCTCCTCCTCGCCTCCTCCGCCTCCTCCTCCTCCTCGCTCATCTCTCCTCCTCCTCTCTCCTCCCTCCTCCTCCTCCTCATCGACCTCCTCCTCCTCCCCTCCTCCTCCTCCTCTCCTCCCCAGCATCATCATCATCATCATCATCATCATCATCATCATCATCATCATCATCTCATCATCATCATCATCATCATCATCATCATCATCATCATCATCATCATCATCATCATCATCATCATCATCATCATCATCATCATCATCATCATCATCATCATCATCATCATCATCATCATCATCATCATCATCATCAGCATCATCATCATCATCCTCATCATCATCATCATCATCATCATCACATCATCATCATCATCATCATCATCATCATCATCATCATCATCATCATCATCATCATCATCATCATCATCATCATCATCATCATCATCATCATCATCATCATCATCATCATCATCATCATCATCATCATCATCATCATCATTAGCACCACCACCACTACCACCACCACCACCATCATCATCATCATCATCATCATCATCATCATCATCATCATCATCATCATCATCATCATCCTCATCCAAATCCTCATCATCATCCTCATCCTCATCCTCCTCCTCCTCCTCCTCCTCATCATCATCATCATCACCATAATCATCATCATCATGCTCATCATCGTCATCATCATCATCATCAGCATAATGAGCATCATCATCATAATCATCATCATCATCATCATCATCATCACCATTACCGTCACCATCATCATCAGCATCATCAGCAGCATCAGCATCAGCATCATCAACATCATCATCATCCTCATCCTCATCATCATCATCATCATCATCATCATCATCATCATAAGAATCATCATCAGCAGCATCATCAGCATCATCATCCGCATCCTCATCATCATCCTCATCATCATCATCACAATCATCAGTATCATCATTATCAGCATCATCATCAGCATCGTCATCAAACTCATCGTCATCGTCATCATCACCATCAGCAGCATCATCATCGTCATCAGCATAAACATCATCAGGAGCATCATCATTGCCATCATCATCATCATCATCATCATCATCATCAGCATCATCATCATCCGCATCATCATCAGCAGCATCATAACCATCATCATCATCATCAGCAGTCATCATCACCATCGTCATGATCATCATCGTCAGCATCAGCATCAGCATCAGCATCAGCATCAGCATCAGCATCATCATAATCAGCAGCATAATCATCGTCATCACATCATCGTCAGCATCATCATCAGCATCATCATCAGCATCATCATTGCCATCATCATCAGCAGCACCAGCATCATCATCAGCATCATCCTAATCAGCATCATAATCATCGTCATCAGCATCCTCATCATCAGCATCATCATAATCAGCACCATCATCAGCAACATAAGCATCATCATCATCGACATCATCAGCGTTATCATCTCCACCATCACCATCATCATCATCAGCATCATCATCAGCAGCATTATCATCAGCATCATTCGTATCGCCATCATCATCACCGCCATCATCATCAGCGGCATCAGCACCATCATCATCGTTGCAACATCATCCTGAACATCATCAACATCAGCGGCAGCATCCTCATCAGCACCATCATCGTCATCACCAGCAACATCACCATCATCAGCATCATCATCAGCATCAGTATCGTCAGCAGCATCATCATAATCATAATCAGCAGCAGCAGCATCCTCATCATCATCATCAGCATCAGCATCAGTACCATCATCAGCATCAGCATCAGCATCATTATCAGCAGCATCATCAACAACAGCAACACTACTATCATCATCATCATCATCATCATCAGCATCATCATCGCAGCAGCAACAGCAGCAACAACAACAACTGCATCAGCAACACCAACAGCAACAACAACAACTACAACAGCAGCCAACAACGACAACAATGACAACAACAACAACAAAAACAACAACAAAAACAACAACAACAACAACAACAACAACAACTACAACGACAACAACAACAACAACAACAACAACAACAACAACAACAACAACAACAACAATAACAAACTTATCATCATCAGCATCAGCCTCATCATGAGGAGGAGGAAGAGGAGGAGGAGGAGGAATACCAGGAAGAGGAGGAGGAGGAGGAGCAGGAAGAGACAGAGGGAATGCGGGGGGCGAGGAAACGTGCACCTTTCGTGCCCCTTCTGGGCCCGCAGGGGGGCCCCTGTAGGGCACGAACGGGCACGTGTCTTCGGCCCTCCCCCAGTTATCGCCCCTCCGTTGCACAACGCCCGAGCGGTCTCAGCCCTACGGCCTCTGGTGGCCGGACAGAAGGTGCCCACACCAACGGCACGAAAACCACACAACGTGATGTTGAGCAACATCTCGCATAACGTATGTCCCGCCCGCCTCCCACGCTCAGCCCAATTTGAGTTGTCGCCAAAGTTTAGGTGCCCACATTTTGTCCTTCCCGCGTCACCTCGCGTATTTCTTGGATACACTTCGGTAGCGTTGTCTTGGCGCGATGGGCGTGCACACTTTGTGACCACCCACCGTCGGGGCGCGGAGGGCCCTGGCGGGCGGCGCCAGAGGCGGCGCTGTCCTTTTGGCCCAATGGGGACTGCAACTAGGGGGGCTGCTTGCATTGCCCCGACAGCCGGCCAAGGTGCACAAGTGAGAGGGAGGTTCTCGTGGGTGGTGGCTCTGGGCGAACAAGGACAAACTGCCACAAGGACAAAATCGGAGGCTGATGCTACGGAGATCAGCCGTCTCTCGCAAAGGGTGCCACGGATCGAAGCCCGACGGGTGATAGGCGACAGGTCGAGAAACCAGAAACGTTCACATGGCCCACATCTCCCCCCTGCCCGAGGGAGGGGTCTGTCAGCGCAGGCGATCCAAACCCTATAAGGTTGAATATATGCACCTCCAACTTGAGAAACGAACTGGAAGCTCTGTTTGAAAAAATTAGACCCTCTGGAAGGGGCTGGGAAGAGACAGCAGTGTAAGATAGAGGCCCTATCTGGAAGCCGCGCGAACGTGTGAGATACACATGTGGCACCTGAGACGCAGAGAAGGTTGTCCTAATTCGCCTCTTCTAGTGTGGACGGCCCCCCAAACCATCACACAGCTCGGCATTCCTGAAGTGTCTTTACGACCGCCCATCACCCATCACTCTCCACCGCTACCCTCCATGCAAGGCCTGCCTGCCTACTCTCCATCTCTACTGCCGCCCATCGACCACCGGCCACAGCTCCTCCGAAGGACGCAATGTTCTGGAAAATCCACCTGACACCGCGGCTAACGTTCTCGACCATGTCCTCCGCTTTTTTTCCCCTCTCTTTCTCTCTCTCTCTCTCTCCCTTCTGTTTTCTCTCTGTTTACATACACATACATACTTACTGACTTACATACATACAGACAGACAGACAGACAGGCCGACAGGCAGACAGACAAACAGACAGACAGATAGATAGGCAAACAGACATACAGACACACACACATGCATGCATGCATAAATGCATGCATACATACATACATGCATGCATGCACGCATGCATACATGACATAACATAGCATAGTATAACGTACCACACACTATCATGGCATATATATATACGTATATATATACATACCGTCATACATACATGCATGCATGCATACATACGTATCTACATGCATGCGTGCATGCATGCATCCATACATACAGAGATACAAATGCATACATACACACATACATGCTAACTTACATAGGTACACACATGCATAAGTACAAACAAACATACATACATGCCTGCATACACACGCACAACTACAAACACATACATACATACATACATACATACATACATACATACATACATACATACATACATACATGCATACATATGCCTATGCATACACATGCCTTCATACATAAAGGTATACGTACATACATACATACATGCATGCATGCATGCATGCATGCATGCATACGTAGATACATAGATACATACATACGTACTTACATACAAACATACATGCGTACATACGTATACACATAAACATACATGCATACATACGTACACACATACATACATAGATGCATACATACATGCACACGTACATACATACCTAACTATCTACCGACGCACAGACATACATACATAATTACAAACATAACTAAATACACACGTACATACATACATACATGCATACATATGCATGCATGCATGCATGCATACATGTACGTCCACCTACAAATACATTCATAAAGTCGTACATACATATATTCATACATACATGCATGGATACATGCATGCATGCATACGTACATACATGCATGCCTGCATACATACGTGCATACCTACATAAACACATATACATACATACATGCATACATACATACATACATGCATACATGCATACATGCATACATGCATACATGCATGCATACATACACACATACATGCATGCGCACACCATACATACATACATACATACATACATACATACATAAGTAAATACATACATACATGCACACGTTCATAAATACCTAATTACCTGTCAGCCTACACACATACATACATACATACATACATACATGCATGCATACATACATACATGCATACATACGTGCATGCATACATACCTACATACATACATGCATGCATGCATGCATACACACATATGCATGCATGCATACATACATACATGCGTGCATACATACATACATACATGTATGCACACGTGCATGCATACATACAAACATACATGCATGCTTGCATGCACACACTGCATACGGATATGCATACATGCATGCATGCACAAGTTCATACATACACATACATCTACATACATACATGCATACATACATGCATGCATGCACACACATATGCATGCATGCATACATACATCCGTGCATACATACATGCATACATACATATGTGCATACATACATATATACATACATACATACATACATACATACATACATGCACACACACATACATGCATGCAAGTACATACGTGCATACATACATACATATACGCATGCATGCATGCATGCATGCATGCATGCATACACACATATGCATGCATGTAGACATACATGCATACATACATACATGCATGCACACGTGCATACGTACGTACATACATAAATGCAGACAGACAGATATGCAGACGCACATACATACATGCATGCATGCGTACATACAAGCATACATGCATGCATGCATGTACGCCTGCACAAACGCAGATGCATGCACGCATACATACATACATACATACATACATACATACATACATACATACATACATACATACATACATACATACATACATACATACATACATACATGCATGCATGCATGCATGCATACATACATACATACATACATGCATACACACATACATGCATGCATGCACACGTGCATACATACATACATACATACATACATACATACATACATACATACATACATACATACATACATACATACATACATACAGGCATGCATACATGCATGCATGCATGCATGCATGCATGCATGCATACATACATACATACATGTACATGCATATATACATGCATGCATGCATTCATGCATACGAGAGAGCGTGATCCGCCGCCGCTTTACTGTTGAAAATTCCCCCCCCTTTTCCTCCAGAACCCGGGGGTCCCCCCCCCCCCCTCCGAGAAGTCCCCCCCCCCCTGCTCGAACCTCCCCCCTTCCCCCCGGCCGGCAAAACTCTCCCCTCCCCTAACCCCCCCCACCCCCTCCGGAAAAGCGAGGGGAGTCGCTACCGGTTCGAACCCCCCCCCCCGTCCGGAAAAAACCGGGGGGGTCACTAGGTTCGAACCCCTCCCCCCCCCCTACAGAAAACCAGAGGGGGGTCACTACCGGTTCGAACCCCTCCGCCCCCCCCCTTCTCCAGAAAACCGGGGGGGTCACTACCGGTTCGAACCCCACCCCCCTCAAAAACCGGGGGGGATCAGGGGGTCACTACCAGTTCGAACCCCCCCCCCTCCCTTCGAATACCGGGGAGGGTCACTACCAATTCGAACACCCCCCCCTCCCTTCGAATACCGGGGGAGGGGTCACTACCGGTTCGAACCCCTCCCCCCCCCCACTCGAATACCGGGGGGGGTCACTACCGCCTCACGCTCACCGCCAGCAAACGACTCCCTGGTCCCTACCACCGTCCGCACCATATCCACCACTGCTGTCCCCAGCACCAGTCCTCACCACCACTGTCCCCACTGTTCCAACCACCGTCCCCACTGTCCCCACCAGTGCTCCACCACTGTCGCACTGTCCCCACTGTCCCCACCACTGTTCCCACCACAGTTCCACTCTCCCCACTTTCTCCACGGCCCCAACCACTGTCCCACTGTCCCCACTGTCCCACTGTCCCCGCCGCTATCCCACTGAGCTGTCGCACTGTTCCCACCACTGTCCCCACTGTCCCCACCACTGTCCCCACTGTACCTCTGTCCCATTATCCCACCGCCGTCCTCGCCACCGCCCTCACCACTGTCCCCACCACAACTCCAGTCCCACTGTTTCCACCACATTCCCGCTGTCCCCTCCCCACTGTCCCCACCACCACCGTCCCCACCACTGTCCCACTGTCCTACTGTCCCCGCACCACTGTCCCCACCACCACCATTCCCACCACTGTCCCAGCATCCCCCCATTGTCCAACTGTCCCCACCATTGGCGGCCAAGGGGGGGGGTGGAAGGGTTCGAACCAGTAGTGGCACCCCCAATTTTCGAGGGGGGGGTGTTCGAACTGGTAGTGAGCCCCCCCGGCCGGTTTTCGAATGGGGGGGGGGTCGAACCAGCAAAGACCCCCCCTCTTTCCATGATGGACTGGGGGGGGGGGGGTTCGAACCGGTAGTGACCCCCACCAGTTTTCGAGATGGGGGGGGGGACAGGTTGGGAACCCCCAGTGACCCCCCCTGGTTTTCCGACAGCAGCGGTAGAACACGCTCTTACATACATGCATACGTACTTACATACATACATACATACATACATACATACATACATACATACATACATGCATGCATGCGTGCATACATACATACATACATACATACATACATGCATGCATGTATGCATGCATACATGCATGCATACATGCATACATACATACATACATACATTACATATATATATATATATATATACACGTACATACATACGTACATACATACACATGTGCATGCATGCAGACATACATGCATACATACATATATGCATTCACACGTGCATACATATAAACATACATACATCTATACATTCATACATACATGCATGCACACGTGCATGCATATCAACATACATTCATGCATACATGCATGCATCCATGTATACACACATGCATGCATGCATACATACATACATGCATGCATACATACATACATACAGACATGCATGCGCACGTGCATCCATGCCCTCATACATACATACATATATACATACATGAATACATACATACATGCATACATGCATGCAAGCATACATGCATGCATACATAATTGCATGCGTACATACATGCATGCATGCATGCATGCATGCATGCATACGGACACACATGTACATGCATACGCACATGCATACATACATGCATGCATGCGTACACACATATGACTGAATGCATACATACATCTCTACATACATGCATACAAACATGCATACATGCTCACATGCATGCATGCACACGTGCATACATGCATACATACATGCAGACTACATACATACCTACATGCATACATACAAACATGCATGTATGCCAGCATGAACACACATGCACGCCTGCATGCATACATACATGCATACATACATGCATGAATGCACACGTGCATACATACATACATAATTTCATACATACATACACGCATACATACATACATGCATGCATGCATGCATACAGACATGCATGCATACATACATACATGCATGCATGCATACACACATATGCATGCATGCATGCATGCATGCATGCATACATACATGCATGCATACATACATTCATGCACACGTGCATACATACATACATACATACATACATGCATGCATACATACACACATGCATACATACATACATACATGCATACATACATGCATGCATGCACACGTGCATACAGACATACAGTCATGCATGCATACATACTCTCATGTATGTATATGCATGCATGCATGCATACATACATGCATGCATGCGTGCATATAGAAATTCATGCATACATAGATACACAGATGCATACACACGTGCAAACATACATACATACATACATACATACATACATACATACATACATACGTACATACATACATACATACATACATACATACATACATACATACATACATACATACATACTTGCATATATGCATTAATGCATGCATGCATACATACATGCATGCATGCATTCATGCATGCATACATGCATGCATACATACATGCATGTACATGCAGACAGGCAGACAGACAGAAAGACAACACGAGGCGTCCAAGAGGCCTCCGGACGTCCCCAAGACGACTCCAAGAAGTCCCCACAGGCTCCCAGACCATGCAAGATCCCTTCTGGAAGGCCCACGAGGTCCCCAAAACGTCCCAAGAGAGCTCCAAGATGGCCCCCGAAAGGGCCCTGAAAGGCTGAACTCGTCCCAGTCCTTTCGGAAAACATACATCTTCAGTCTCTACAAGTGGCGGGCTGCACCAGCGTGCGCGACGACCCCAGACGCCGCCCAGACCGCCCCCAAACAGCCGAGAAGGCCCCCAAGAGAGCCCGAAGACAGCCCAAGAGGGCCCCAGGAAGGCCCAAGACGGCCCAGAAAGCCCGCCCCTGCAAGCCCCCAGGGGAGCCCAGCCCCCAGACACCCCAGACGCCGCCAAAACCACCCTAAAACAGCCCAAGAAGCCCCCAAAGAGCCCAAAGACGGCCCAACAGGGACCCCAGAAGGCCCGAGACGGGCAGGAAGGCCCCTGGAGGCCCCCAGGGGAGCCCACAGGAGACCCCCAGACACCCCCAAGAGAGCCCACGGACGCTCACAGCTCCAGAAGACAGCACAGAACAATCCCAGGGCGGCCTCAGAGGACTTCTAACATCGCTCAAAGATGCCCCAAGTCTTGGGGCGTGTCGCGTTGTCGTGAGCCCCTCTGGGGCCGTCTGAAGCTCTTCTGGAGGCTCTCTTTGGTCCACTTGGGGCCTTCTTGGGGCAGTCCTCAGCCCTCCATTGCTCCTGTGAGGAGCCCAGAAGCCAGACCTAATCAAGATGTGTGGGACCCAACACATCGTCAAAAACCATAGAAATGGTTCTGGTCCTTGACTGATTTAGACACTATGGGATTCTTCCTGAGGCCCTGTTGGGGCGGCCCTCATTGGGCGATCTGAGAACCGCTTGTGCCCTCTGGGGCTCTCTCGGATTCGTCTGCAAGTTATCCTAAGAACTCGTGGGTGCACTGGGGCCGTCTTAAGAGCTCTTGGAGCATCTGGGAGGAACAAGAGGAGGTTGCAGAGGGGAGGAGTGACTTGCCAAGGCCCTAGGACTGAAGGGCGCCAGCCATACACCCACACCGCCCGTTCTGGGCTAAGGATTGGTGTAAACGCCCTCCTGGCCATAGCAAAGGCCCTGGGCCCCCCGGGGCCTGAATATGAGAAAGGTGCGCGCAGGATTTACTATTACTTCACCTCGTCCCGCCCCCCAAGCGTCTCGACTAAAATCCTTCCCCCCCAAAGTAGGGAATGGAGGATGGCAGGGGCAAGGGAAGGAGGAGGGCGTAAAGAAGGAGGGGGGAGTAGGGGGAGGGGGGAACGGGAAGGGGGAGAAGGGGACAATGGGAAGGACTGGCGCGAAGCATCACCAAGAAACAACATAATCACAAACGCAGTTTTTGACGCCATCCAGCTTACCCTCAGGACCACCTCTGGACTCTAAGAACCATGGTCGATGCAAGAATGCTCGCCTCCTCCTTCTCCTCCTCCTCCTCCTCTGCCTTCTCGTTCCTTACTCCTCCATCCTCCAGCCTCCATCCTCACTCCTCTCTTCTCCCCCTCATCTTCCTCGTCCTCCTGCTGCTGCTGCTCCTCCACCTCCTCCTCCTCATCCTTCTTCTGTTCCTCCTCCTCCTCCTCCTCCTCCTCCTCCTCCTCCTCCTCCTCCTCCTCCTCCTCATCATCATCATCATCATCATCATCATCATCATCATCATCATCATCATCATCATCATCATCATCATCATCATCATCATCATCATCATCATCATCATCATCATCATCCTGCATATGTTACTCCTCGTTAGTTTCTTTATTTTCCTCCTCCTCCTTCTCGTCCTCCTCCTCCTCCTCCAACCTCCTCGTCCTCTATCCTCCTCGGGTCCGGGATCTGCGCGAACGGAAAATTCCGGTAGTCTATGCAAACCAGCACCCGCCAGCCCGCCTCGCCGGGCCCAGGGCTCGAGGGGTCCTTTGCGCAGCCCTGCGCACGGCGCCCCGCCGTGCAACGCTGGCGTCTGGCCGACGCCATCGAAGCAGAGGACGAGACGCGGGCGCCGGAAGGAGCTCTCGCAGAGCGCAGGAGGGGCCTCAGAGTCCATCTGACACCACTTTGGCCAAATCGCTTCGTCAAGAACTGCGAGAGCAAAGGCTGCATTGAGCACCTCCAGTGAAGATCGCGAGGCAAATCCCCATGAGTATGGGGAATCTCTGCGCGCCGCCGCGCTGGTCCCAGCCACGCTGGGGCCTGCAAGGGCCGAGCCTGGGCCCAGGATCGGCGTCCGCGCGCTTCGGGCTGAGCCGCGATGCGCACGAGGTCGAGGCGCGGGCTCGGGGGGGGGGGCCCTCGCAAGAGGGCCGCGAGGGGCCTCAAGCGATCCTGGAGGGGCCCATCCCGGGCCCACGGCCCTCCGCGAGATCGGACGCAAGACTTGATCGAAGCCCCTCGCCCCCCGAATCTCGCTGTTCGGCGGCGCGCGCAGCGCGGCCCGCGGGGTCCGAGGAAGCATTGCAGTCGCCGACTTCGGCGCGAGCTTCGACATTGGGGGTCCGGGGGCGCCACGCCACGGGGAAAAGGCCTGCGCCCGGATGTCGCGGAAGGATGCGGGATCGGTGTCTGCGACTCCCTGGCCAAGCCAAGAGGCGCAGAGATCCTGCGCCCAGCATGGGCCCTGCCGGCATCGGTGCAGTGGTCGGTTGACGCCCCACGACTCCAGCAGAGCGCACCGAGGGAGGGAGCCGAGCAGGGCAGGGCTGCTTCGTAGACGCCCAGGGCTGCTGAGCAGACGCCAGGTATGGCCGGACCTGGGACAGAGGAACAACCTTCAAGAACATGAGGCCCTCCGCTGCCAAACTGAAGAACGTTCGAGGGTATCCTCCCCCAGGATGCACAAGAACATCCAACAAACACGAAGAACATTAGGGCACCCTACCCGAACCGACTCCGATCTTACACCTCGGTCCGTAGGGGGGGTCGAGGTCGGGATACTTCTCCTCCTTTGACATTGCAATCGTGTGGGGGTAAGGGGGGGGCCAGATCCTGAGGCATGCCAACGTCGGGAGTTGGTTTTTAGTACCGCGTGGATCCCTCAACCCTGAAAACTCGCTGCTTTCCGATAGCGCAGATCGAGAAACATCGGCCGATAGCATGCCGCCAGTAGCCTTCAACCTTGCACGCTCACGCTGGCGTCGCAGCCGCGTTCACCCGGCACCGATCCCACCATTGATTGGCCCTTTGGTGCCTGGCTGGCGAAAGACGGTCGGAAACATAAGTTCGATGTTGCCTCCTAAGTTTCGTCCTTGTGAAGACACACCTGCGATCCTCCACCAAGAGCCATGGGGAAACACCGCCTTCTGAAAAATAGACGCCTAGCAACAGGAGCACCGAACGAGCCCCCCCCGCACCTGGTGTCGTAACGTTAGCGGACGAAGTGTTGTGAGATAAACGCCCACTTTTGCAAGGGGTCCATCGCTTCCCCATCAACCTTGAAATACGGGTGCGACAGGGGGACGCGTTTCGATGTATTTTCACCTCGACCTGATATGGGCGTTTATTTCGCAGCCAGCGGTAGCAAGCAGAGGCCCACGGGGCCACGGTTCACGACCTCCGATGACTGTCGAGACCGTCATGGATCCCGGATAAGATACTGACAAAGGGCTTCCCCGTACCGTTAAACATGTCGGCGACCCACTATGCCTGTGTCGACTCCAGCACGAGTCTTGGACGAAGCACCCTCTGGAAGCGAACTTCCAGCGACGAAGGATGACTTGAATGTATTCCGAGCGAAGGCGCGTGGCGGCAGTGGCGCGGACCGTTCGATAATGCCAGCGTCAACACACCGCAACCCAAGCTGCACGTTGTAGCTCCTATGGCCTGACGGCCAGGAAGGCGGGATACGTGATCGATATAACAACTCTCAGCACGTTTCCTCCTCCTCCCGCTCTTCCTCCTCCTCCTCCTCCTCCTCCTCCTCCCTTCGTATCCTGCTCCTCTTCCTCTCGTCCTCGACCTCTTGTGCACGTCGACACCACGAGGCCGCAATCTGACAGTCGAGCTGGTCGCGAGTCCTAGAAATCGCGTTGTACACACATAAGGAGCACGTGCGTATTGAAACGATTCGCCTGCCACGGAAGCCCTGTCCAGACTATGCACGCAGACCCGAGGTGAGGTGCCTGATACCCACAGCACACGCTGCGCAAGTGTGCGCAGATCGGCACGCCATGGCACATCGTGCTGGGATGATGGCCCGCGAGGGAGCAGTAGCGTTACGAGCGCATGCTTGCAAAGACAACGAAGATGTAGAAAACGGCGACAACAGCATCAATACGCAACGACGCGTTACGAAAGCGAGCCGTCCCCCCTCCCCTTCCTCCACCTCATCCTCGTCCACCGACTCCAAAAGAAGAACAAACGACATAAGCATTAACTGTTGGCGCTCCGCGCAGATTTCTTGGATCTGCGCGGGGCCACCCTCCCTGGCACGCGGAGCGCGCCAAGGGCGGCGCCGGAGGCGCCGCCAGGGGAGCCCGGCGCGGATCCAAGAAATCCGCGCGGAGCGTCGAAAATTTATGTCTGTGCCTTTTTTCCGTCTTCGAGACTCGTGGCTGCTGCTCGCCCCGGAGTGCCCGTTCCTCTCTCGCGTGCCGCCAATCATACAACCTGCCTCGGCCGAAGAGCCAGCGGCAAACAGCGCTCGCAGTCTCGAGCGCGAGCCCGTGCCTGGAGCAGACTTGGCCAGAAGATCCCCCTTGTAGGAGCCCGCTTGACAACATACGCGTCAACAAACGGACACATGGAATACTGCTGGCAAAACCTCTGAGGCCAAGATACGCTTCTCTGCCGCTCAGCGAGTCCTCGAGACAAGACAAATGGGCGGCGAGGACCCACCACAACGTGTCTTGGATGCGATCGCAAGTTGGGTTCCTGAGGACTGGTCGTTTCCGCTCGCCCGCAAAGCCTGCCCGCTCGGTTAGCTCTGATTCTCGCCGTCGCAGGGAGCGCACAGCTTTCACCATTTGGTACTCGGCCTGACTTGTACAGATCATGGACATGTATACGATCCCCCTGCTCGCTCCTGAGAGGAAAACGCACACGCACCCTCTGCCATCCCCCAGCCTCGCTTCCCCCTCTTCCTCCTCCTCCTCCTCCTCCTCCTCCTCCTCCTCAATGCCGTTCCCTTCTGTACCGCTCCTCCCTGGCGCAGGGGGCGTGTGTTTCGCTGGAGAGTTCCTTACGATGCACGATCCTGGAACTTCAAATTTGAAACGAATCAAACAATTGTGAGGGGGAGTTCGTTTCCAAGATGAGGATCTCGCCGTAGCGCCGCACACAATTGTCTTAAAATCTTGACGGACCTACAAAGATGGAGGGCGGTTCATTTTAATGGGAGGCCCTCGCCTTGGCGCCGCAGGCATTCGTCTTGAACGCGTTCAAGACCTACATGGATGAAGAGCGGTTCCCTTTTCAAAATAGAGCCCATGGAGGAAGGCTCCTTTTCAAAATAGGGTACCGCTTGAGACTTCCTCCAAAATCAACAGGTGCACCGATGGGGGCGGTTCTTTTTCAAAACAAGGCTCTCGCCGGACATTCCGCTGAGCTATATGATCGTTCCTTCTCGCCTTTATTCGCTAGAAGGACGCAACCGAGCTCCCTGTCAAAATACGGCTAGACCTAGGACAGAAGAACATCCTTCAGGAACCTGAGGCCCTCCGCCAGCCAAACTGAAGAACGGTGGAGGATACCCTCCACCAAAAATGCACAACTACACTCAACGGACACGAATATCATCAAGGTACCCTCCCTCGGCCCGAATGTGCAGACTCGCCTAAATGGCAGACCCGTAAAGTGCTCGTTTCAGGGGGTGCTTCTGGCAGTGAACAGAAAGGAGTGTAGGGACTTGTGAGGAGGAGACTTGTGAGGAGGGGACTTATGACTGGAGGGTGTGTTGCAGCATTGTTGGTGTATCCCAAATTTACTCTGGACCTCCTCCTCCTCCTCCTCCCCCTCATCCTCCTCCTCCTCCTCCTCCTCCTCCTCCTCCTCCTCCTCCTCCTCCTCCTCCTCCTCCTCCTCCTCCTCCTCCTCCTCCTCCTCCTACCTCCATTCCTCCTCCCTGTCGCATCCTCCTCCCTCCCTCCTCCTCCTCCTCCTCTCCTCCTCCTCCTCCTCCTCCTCCTCCTCCTCCTCCTCCTCCCGCACCTCCTCCTCTCTCCTCCTCCTCCTCCTCCTCCTCCTCCTCCTCCTCCTCCTCCTCCTCCTCATCCTCCTCCTCCTCATCCTCCTCACTGGCCATCTCTTCACACTGAGCAATGCATTCGGCGCAACTGGGTCAACCATTCCAAGCAAACGAAAAACAAACGAGTTAATCAAGCAATGTGCGAGAAGTGTCACACACGTGCAGCAGCTCTCTTCGCCCGACATGTCTGCAGCAAGAGAATCAGCAGAAAGCAAACGGGTCCTGAGGGCAACGGCCTGTGTCGGTTCTTCACACTGAGCTGCTTTTGACGGTCCCAAGGCCCGGGAAGGGCCCCCAAGGGACCTCCAGAACAGCGAAAAGCCGTGGGACACATTTCCCTCAAAACCCGTTTGCCACACGGCGAAAGACGCAGCTCGAGAGCCGGAGGCGACGACAGGGGCGAATAGCCTGGGGAGGAGCAATACATGTATCCAAGGGCGCCGATGGTCCATATCTTCGGCGGAACTCCCAGAGGGATACGTGTAATGCCCGTCCCTGGGCTGTTCGCCCCTATCGTCCCCTCCGAGGAAGGCGTGCCGAGGCCTATCACAAAGCCGCCTCCCATGATGGCGACGACCACCGGAACCTTGGGCCCCTCGCCCTGCTGGGCCAGGGAGGCCTGCAGCGGGTAGATGGGAGGATTTGGTTTGCGTCGTCCTGCCATCGGCCTCTCTGTGCTCCTTTCTGCGCTGGGCGGATGTGAAAGCATGGCGCGTTGCGTCCCGAGAGAGAAAGAGGAAGAGAGAGAGAGAGAGAGAGACAAAAAAAAAGCCAAATGCGCCGATTTAGGCATATGAACACAAACTAAGGCTGCTACCAGTGCGGACGCATGTAGTGCCAAAAAGAGATGGCTGAAGACGGGGTGCCCATGAGGGCGCGGAGCAGGTGCAGTGGGAACTGGGAGCAGCGTTCTCATCTTTTGTTTTGACGTTGGTCATACATGAGCATCTTGGCTGCTGCGTTCTTCCAGTGACGCTGCGCCTGCGAGACACGAGAAAAAGGTGAAAGACTACCGACTTAGGCCTGCAGGCCAACATATTACGCCTGGCGAGCGTAGCAAAGAATAGAAAGGCGCAACAGGTAAAGAAAAAGACAGTGGGCCCGCAAGGGCACAGAGTGTACGCCTGCCAGGCCGAGGTGGAGAGAGGGAACCAAGCGTAACAATAAGACACAGCATGCCATCGGGGATAAACCCTCCTCCTCTTCCTCTTCCTTCTCCTCCCCCTCCTCTTGCTCATCGCCCCTCCAGATTGCCCAACTTTGCTCATCGCGCCCCACGACGCGCGACGCGCGGCTCCCTTCGCACCCTCGCGACGCCCCCCTGAAAAAGGGCGCCTCGGCAACACAAGCCGCGGCGTCGGCGCGCGAAGCGCGATCCTCCTCGCGCCCCCTCGTAGACGGGCGCGCTCCACCACTCGCAAAGTGACTACTCGCGAGTGACCTGAATCCGCCGCGGGGGATTTACGATCCATGACGTCGAGGCAAGCTTGTGTTCTTCTGACGTTTGCGAGTAGACACTTTGCGAGCAGTGGAACGCGCTCGGTGACCTCGGGTGACCTGCTTGCGGCAGGTTCGTGCGGCGTCCGCGCGCGCAAAGGCTCTTGACACCGCGTCGACGGGTCAACCTTGAATCGATCGCGGCTCCGATCGTTCAAGGTTGAATTCCGTCGGGCCCAGTGGCGTTACCGCGTCCCTCGGTGCTTCCGCGTCGCAGAATGGACGCCTTCGCCGGCGTCGCCGGCGCGCCAACGCCGCACGAGCCTACCGTAAGTTCCCTCGCTCCTCCTCGTTTGGTAGGCGGCACTCCTGGACACCTCCGCGGCGGGGGGCATGGGGGCCCCACGACGGGAGAGCTCGCAGTCGGCAGGGCGAAGCCGAGCGACCTAGCCGCAACCAATCACGGCCAGAGCGGGTTGGAGGAGTGCGAACGCTCCGCCGCCTGGCCAGCTGTCGCAGGCCTCCGCCCCAGAGCACGCGCAGCAGCAGCAGCAGCAGCAGCAGCAGCAGCAGCAGCAGCAGCAGCAGCTCTCTTAGGGCTAGGTCGCGTATGTCCTCCTACAGGCGGATGTTGGACGAAAAATAACAAATACTCAAACAATACTCCAACATAGTCAAATGTCTATGTATACATCTATATACTAGAACCATCGCGCGCGCTTCGCGCGCGCTCAGGTTCTAGCCCAGGCTGGGGGGGGCGCTGGGCGATCTTGGACAACGATATCAAGCACAGGCGCGCGACGGCATCTGAGGAGCTTCTGGGGTGTTCCGCATGCTTCGTCAACTGGCTGTTGGAGGCACCTCTCGGGTGCCTCTTGGGGGGGCGTCTGAGGGTCTCTTGGGGGCATCGGCTCTGCAATCTGAAGCCGTCATTGGCCGTCTTGGCTGCGTGGAGGCCCGACTTGAGGCCACCTGAGGCCAGATTGAGGCAATCCGGAAGCCTCCCGGGGGCCTCCTGAAGCAGTTTTGACGCATCGAGGGCACTCTTGGGCTATTTTAAAACCTCTTGGACGTCTCCTAGGGGCCTTTTGGGCCCTCGGGAAGCTTTTGGGGTCCTCGTGGGACCACTTGGGGGCCTCTTGCGGCCTCCTGTGGGCCTTTGGGGGGGAACGCTCTGCTGCTGGGTCGCGTTCCCCTTCTTGGGCCTCTCTTGGGGCTCTTGGGGCCCTCTCGGGCCGTCTTGGGCGCCTCAAGCACCGTCTTGGGGCCCTCGCGGGCCGTCTTGGTGCCCTCTTGGAGGCCTCTTCCTCTATATTGGATCGGTATTGGGAGCCTCTTGAGCCGTCTTGGAGCATCGGGGTGCCAAAAGGCCGACAAACATAAAACCCGTCAAAGCCCAATCGTAAAATAATGAGTTGTGCCTCTTGGGGCCACCTTGGGAGATCTCTTGCAACCTCGTCGGCCCTCTTGGGAGCTTCTTGGGGGCCTCTTGGATCCGATTGGGGGCCTCTTGGGACTTCCCGAGAACCTCTCGGGGTAGGAAGCTCGGATTCTCAGTTCGTGTTTCCCTTCATGGGCCTCTCTTGGGGCCGTCTTGGGGCCTTCTCGGGCCGTCTTGGGCGCCTCAGGCACCGCCTTGGGGCCCTCGCGGGCCGCCCAGGGCCCTCTTGAAAGCCTCTTCGGCTATCTTGGAGCTGTCTTGGAGGCCTCTTCCTCCTCCTCGTCCCCCTCCTCCTCCTCCTCCTCCTCCTCCCACTCCAGCTCTCTCTCCTCCTGATTTTCCTCCTCCTCCTCCTCCTCCTCCTCCTCCGCCTCCTGCAGCGTGTTGGAAGGCTCCCGCCGGAACATGCTGTGCACAAGTGCTGTCACTGCTCCCGCCGACGTGCCCTGGGTGGTGGGTCAGAGGCCTCATGGGTGTTGGTTTGGATCTCGTGGTTGGCCTGTCGGGGACGTCGTGAAGGCAGTTTCACAGCTTCTCGGAAGCCGTTTTGGGACCGTTGTGGGGCCTCCTCGGGGCTGTTTTGTGGCCTCTTTAGGCCTCGTTTGGGCCTCCTGGGTGCCTCTTTGGGGCCTCCTGGGGCCTCTCGGGGGCTCCTTGGGGCCTCCTGGGGCACTCTTCAAGCGGGAGGGTCGAATTTTGGAGTCGTGGTCCCCCGGTCCCCCTCTTGGGCGCATCTTGGGGCCGTCTTGGGGCTCTGTTGGGCTGTCTTGGGCGACTCTGGGGCCGTCTTGGGGCCCTCTTGGGCCGTCTTGGGGCGCTCTTGGGGGCCTATTGAGCCGTCTTGGAAGTCGGACGGCCGAAAAGGCTGGAAGGCCAAAATCGTTCGAAAACCTTTGTAAAATTGACGATTTCGGTCTCTTGAAGCGCTCTGGAGAGGCGTCTTGAAGCGTCGTGGAGTGCCTTGGGGGGCCTCTCGGGCCGTCTTTTTTTTTCTCCGCAAGGTAGAAAGCGGGGAACACGAGGACTTGGGGTCCTGTGGTGTAGCACGACCTGCGCAGCCAGAGTCTCGTCCAGAAACCTGCAACAATTCTGGCCCGTGCCTCAGGCAACGGATCGCGCGATCAGGAAACCAGGACGCATCTCAGAAGTCGACGTGGAGAGGGAGATGGAATGAGCGAGGAAAGGATGATGATGGTGAGGAGGATGTGGAGGATAAGGAGGAGCCCCAGGCCACTGGAAAAAATGACCAGCTGCAAGAACCTGCGCTGCGATGGTGGAGAGTGCATAAGCGACTCAAAGATAAAACATTCGCATCTCAGCAGCGAGTCAAGCCGCAAAGCACAGGGCAGTTGATCTCTTTCTCGCTCACCCCGCATCTTTCTATCTCTCGCGCTCTCTCTCTCTCTCTCTTCCTCTCTCTCTCTCTCTCTCTCCCTCTCTCTCTATGTATCGAACCAGTCGCACTTCGCGCTGTCTGCACATAACGTGCAGATCACGCAAATGAATCTCAGTACGAGCGCGGGCACCCCGCCCAGGGGGCGCCCCAGGCCGGGGCCAACAGAACAGAGCTAGGCTACGGTATTATGCCGTGGCGCCCCAACGCACCTTTCTGAGCAGCGCCGGAAAGCACCTGTCCACCAGGTCGTGTGCGAGCGCACACCCAGCTTGGATTGGATATGATGTGGTCCAACATGACGAAGAGGATGACGCAAGCATAAAAACTAAGAGGTCCGCGCGGATTTCTCGGATCCGCGCTGGACCCCCCTTCCTGGCGCGCGGAGCGCGCCTGGGGCGAC